CGCGCATCTAGCGCACTGCTTTCGCTCTCTCCACCGCTACCGCCGTCTCTCTCCAATCAAGTTTCCTTCTCCAACGCTTTCTCCAACGCCAACGCAATCTCAATCTCTACCTCTCTCTCTCGGCCTAACACGGCCGACTACCCACTGCCCCAACAGACGCCCAACACGGGCTTGCTGCACCCCGCGTAGTTTACCTTTCATCGAGGAGCGAGGGGAAGAAGGGAGAGGCAGTGGCGGGGGGAAAAAAGAAAAAAAACGAATAGTCTAGCATACACTCACCAGCATGCCATCTCCCTCGAGCACGTACAGACGTCCCGTTCACGAGGTGCTTCCCGATGTCCACAGCGGCCGCGAACTCCAGCTGCAGCCGGAACTCTTGGTAGTACCCGTCCTTCCCGAGCATGGCAAGCTCACCCCGGCAGAAGTCGGCCTTTCGTGACTTGGTCGCGTCGCTGCCGCTGAAGGCGTCGATGAAGTTCTTGGCCGGCTGCCAGCCCGTCACCAACTGGTGGTTCCTCTCGTAGGTCGAACCCCAACGTGTGCGGTTTTTCACCCACCCGAACTTCGTTCGGCTGCTGTTCGGTGTTCGGTACATCTACAAGAAGCAGTACACACGAAGTATTATGTAGTGTAGTCAACGCCTTTTAATGCCTGTTGAATAACGTCTGGCTGGGTCACCCAAGGGCCGTGCAGGTGTTCATGTACGTACTGCTGTATGCTAAAAATACTTCCCTTCCGCAGCGCGTTTCGGGATACAACACAAAAGAACCAAACTGACAAACATTGCCCTCCTTTATCTCCGTCTTCATCTCCTCCATGTCTCAATTGTTGTTGTTGTTGTTGTCGTTGTTGTTGTTGCCTTCAAATTAAAAACCGTTCCGATCTCTCTTTACCCCGTACCTTCGGATGTCCGTACTGATACAACACTCGACGCGGTCGATTCCCGTGGTCGCAGGCTAACTTACCCTATAAAGGTACACTCAAATACAAGGGCCCCGAGGGGTCCGCAAGTCAATAGAAATCAACGACAGATATTCTGGAGGGACAAGGCCATTTGGCAGAGAAAAAGAGAGATAAAACATGATTCCTATTATTGTCTTCTCTTTTTCTCTGTTTTTTTTTTGTCTCTCTTTTTCCCTGCCAAATGGCCTTGTCTCTGCTTGCGTTGTGAACCAAGATTGAACCAAGGGGGTGTATCTCATTCTCTCCGGCCCGTGATGGTGACCCCTAGTCTCAGTTGTTACCTCGCATGGCGCGCAGAGGGAGTGGAGGACTCCAGAATATCTGTCGTTGATTTCTATTGACTTGCGGACCCCTCGGGGCCATTTTATTTGAGTGTACCTTTTTAGGGTAAGTTTGCCTGCGACCACGGGAATCGACCGCGTCGAGTGTTGTATCAATACCGACATCCGAAGGTACGGGGTAAAGAGAGATCGGAACGTTTATAATTTGAAGACAACAACAACAACAACAACAACAACAACAACAACAACAACAACAACAACAACAACAATGTCACGCTGCCAATAGGGAACGCTCCGAGATATTTCTTGGCGTTGATCCGCCGGCGGGCGACCACGCGGCCAAATTCTTATCCGGACTTCCTCTGCTGTTGTGGTAGCTCGTGTGTGCTGCGTCACCGTGGGCTTCCTTCTTGGCGGATCCAGGTCCCGTGGAGGGTGATGGACTGGTGGAGAGCTGGGGGCTCTCACTAACCCTACGCAGCAAAGCCGGTGACTTGCCTGCAGCAGCAGCAGTGGCGTGGAGCAAGGAGCAAGCCCGTGAGTGTGGTGGTACATGTGTATACTCTGCTGAAACAGCGGCTGGTTGGTCTGTCGGAGCACTTCACGAGCACTTGGGGTGTCTGTCACAAGCTTTCAAGCAGTATGTCATGTAGCAGGAGCATGCATGTCCATGTCGCTCGACAGGACGTGAGTCGCGTTTGTTGAGCGCCGCGTTGGGCATAATGGCAGATTGCGCGCCCATTTCTTGAAGAAGAAAACAAGCCGGCCCCGGCCAGTCGTGCGAATAATATCCCGGTATGTTCCCGGACGGTGTACACAGTAGAAGGCACCACACACACGTTTTCTCTTCCGCGGTCCCTGGTGGCCAGAGGTTGCGGGTAGACCGGGCACCGACTACAACCTGGTGGGGGGAGGTTGCAAGGAGGTTGCAACAACTCAAAGTGTGCGAGTTATCCCGCATCTCCATAGTGGCGTTTTGCATTCAACAGCAGTATTTATTTGCCGACACCATGGCCTACAGAAAAATTGGGTTCAAGGTCGAACTCGGCCTCCCAACCTGCCCCTCTGGCTACCAGTGTGTGCAGCCCAACCTTGTGCCGCACCCCACACCGCTCGTCGCCCTAAAATTGTAAAGCGATGCTAGTTCTCTATACCGCAATAATGGTTGACCTCTCGCCAGCAGACCTTCCGGACTCTCTCGTCCGCATAACCCAACTGCATGCCTGTGTCCCGTGTCCTTATCACTCTCGACAATGTGGTTGTAGCTTGTGGTGTGTTCCCAATGCCGTGCGACACACACGGGACTTATCTAAAAAGTAGACATATTCTCTCCCTCCCGCTACCTTCTCATTATTGGCGACAAACGGGGGCCAGTGGTGCACGTCCGACCCGTGATTGTGTGCATGGGGTTTGGCCGAACAACCCAGCCATTTTTCGGGTAGGGGAAAGAAAAACCGGATACCCCTCCGGGGGGTGACCCCTCGGGGGCCCTCCGGGGGGTGAGTAGCCAAGATCGGGTGCACGCAGTGGAAAGATCGAGGTCGGGTAGGAGTGGGCGTCGGCCAATCAGATGGTGTCATGCGGTCGCTCCCAGAAGGGTCTTGTAGGGGTACCCGATTATGGCCGTGTTTGGACCGGGTGTACCCGATTTTGGCCACTGCTCTTCTTATTTCTACGCCGAGGGCCCCATTCAGAGGACACCGTTTTGTTTTCTGGGTGGATTCAACCGGACACAATACAGGAGCTCCAGCTGTTGAAAGCAGCTGGGTCCTAGGGTAAAGAAAGAGGCACGGTCGCTTTATGTCTTGTCTCCACGATTGTGTAGAAATGAGATGTTGCTTGAATTGAGAGCGAGGAAGGTCTGGTTGAGGAAGGGATCCTCCTGTCAACCAGGGTGCACGCAGATAGCTGAGTCATGATGTGGTATGGTCCCTCAGAGGTATACCTCCCGGACAACCCACATCCTATTCTAGACCAAGATGTACCCTATCTAGGCCCTACAGCAACACTCCTTAACACTAGCCCACCCTGAAGATCATCTTTATAGATTCTATACTCGAATCCAATAATCTCGATCCAAAAGAGCTGATGATTAATACTCCTGAATTTTAAATTTTATGACTCTTCACAATAGCATCCAAAGGGAAGGGGAGCTGTAGAAATATCCCGAATCTACCCCCCACACCACCATTGAGACAAAGCTTTCATAACCAAATTGACAACACAAGTGCGGCTCAATGAAAATGCTATTACCTATGGCATGGGATATAGCTAGGTAAGAAAATGCTGCAAAGTACATTACTATAGATGACAATACAAAATCAGTATCAAAACGCCACACACCACTCTTTTATGTGCACGGGCGCGTATCTCAACTGGAGGAATGAGAGTGCCTACCCGAAAGAGTCCAGAATTACTCCAACAACGACAAAAGATTACCAAGTACAGAGGGAGCAATGGGCAGCCACGGCAGGCACACCACCTCAGGGTGATAGAGTTGATTTCGCTGGTAAGAAAGGCATGACTACACAGATAGATAGGTTGAACGATCAACAGGGCCGACCATGTCTAAACCTGCAATAGAACCTACCAAACAACATAGCTCAAGGAAGCAAAACGACTTGCTCCAGGACAGAAAAAGGTCGAGGGCGGAAAAGGGGACGCGACGAACCGCCCGTATCCCGCGCACAATGGCGATATTGAACACATACACAACAGAAACACATAAAACATATAACACACACAACCCTGAAACTCAGAATCTCGACGGTCATGAAAGTTTGGCCTGAAGGTGACGATGACGGAGAAAAAGTTTAATGAAGCGGGTGATGACGAGCGTCGACGAAGGCCACAGGAGAAGGCGACGCCACGGTATGGAGTCCCGAAGCATGGAGCGCAGTCGACACACCTCCGTCAAAGAAGAAGGTAAAATAATAAAACAAGAGTTGCAAAATGGACTATGAAACTTGGGAAACTCTTTTTCCAAGTATTCAGAGGCCAAACGACACCGACGAAACGTGGAGAACTCTATTTCCAAGTGTTGAGAGGCAAACAACACCGACAAAACTTGGAGAGTTCTTTTTCCAAGTATTTAGAGGCAAACACCATCGAAACCACACTCCGTAAAACGGAACGAACCCTCCATGCTTCGACTGCACGCTCTGAGCGATGACGAGCTAGAGTATGAAGATTGCCAAGGCGTGATAGGCGTCAAAGGATCAACCATAAGCAACATAAAACATAAAAGCACGACCTATTCAAGGTGCGGCAATGCACTGGTGACTGCAGACAGCCAGGGCGAAAATTCTAAGAAAACACAAAAGAATGAACACAGGTCGCGGCAATCCATTTCGGAAGGCGGGCAACAAGGGAGAAACACAAAAGGAAGTGAACACCCATATCCAGGTCGCGGAGTCCGATAAGGAATGCAGGCAACAAGGGAAAGACACAAGGCGCGGTCGATCCAGAACACAGCCTTCCGTCACAACCTACTCAGAGAGATACACTCGTCTATTCCCGTCAGCAACAGCTGATGACGGAGAAACGACAAAGTTGGACGCTGGACATTTAATTGCTAGTCTTGGCATTCTTTTCTTTCTTTTCGTTTCGTTTCTTTCCTTTCTTTTCTTTCTTTATTTTTTTCGTGTTCCAATGTCCAAGATACCAAACAAACAAAACAGAAAAACACATATTCTGTACAAAGACAATTTGGAAATGGCGAAGACACAAAGGCTCCAAGTTGTAAAACCAGAAACCAAAGCAGGCAGACGCGCTCACCAAGGAACAACGCTAGGAAGAAATCCTGGGAACAGCTGACGGTATAGAGTCAGCACGAGGCGGAGTCCTGACATTGGTGTTACCCAAGGGGTGCGAACGATGTTTCTCCAAACACCACGATCCACACGCCGCGTCCAAAGCGGTGGAGTAAATACCGTGGGCAGGGGAAGAATCCGGGGAGGGGCGGCGGAAAGAAGCAGGCATTGGATGCTAACATGCCACCGCCCCCGGCCCCGGCGTTGGAGCTGCTGCCAGACCAAACCACCAGTACACATGTGAAAAGGGATGAGAGGGGCCCACGGGGGGAAGGGATAGAAGGAGGAGGGGCAGCAGCAGAAACGACATCGCAAATTGCTCAAGGAGACTGTCGCGGAGTCGGCCACCGATACTCACCCCTCAGCGGAGCAATGAGGAACCCGCGCGGTCCACTGTTGCCGACGTTGTCGTCGAGTATTATCCTTCTCCACGCCACTCTGCCACGGCATCTTTAAAGCTGGAGCCCGCAGCGAATTCGTAGTACTGTCCGTCGGCAAGATTGACTGCTGGTGGTGATAGTCCGTCACCATCCCTTCCGACAACGGCTTGATCGCAGACCAGGGCCCAAATTTGACCATTCCACCACAGGCCATCGCGTGCCATGTACCACAGTCTCGCGCCTAACGGCACGAGAGCGGCACTAAAGCGACGAAGCCAAGTCTCGTGAGACACAAGACTAAATCCTGGAGGGATGTACCGTTCTCCTCGAGACCTTGCAAGCTCGCGGTGTGCTGCGCGCGAGTACGAGTCAGGCGATAATTGCGACTACCCTACTTGCTTTGGCAAATCTCGTTAGACCAATACAAAAGAATCTGCCGACGAAACTGATCCAGGTCGGATTCTCGTTCCCAGGACAGAGTGGTGAGGCCAATCCAGTGAGTCTGGTACAATACCGCGACGATGCCGTTACGGTGTCGGACCAATTGATGTCCCGAAATGTGGTCCACTTCCAGACGACCAACCGGCACCGACACATCATCCACAGTGACATGGAACGGCGGGAATTTGGCTCCAAAAGAATGCAAAACATATCGCGAAAGATCAGCAGGCAGAGACTGCGGCAAATCGTTCGTGTCATACGGATTGCCGCAGAGTTTGCATCATAAGACCGACACACGGGCACGAGCGTCCGGACCAGAAAGATCCGAAGGAAGATCCAGATACAGTAGTTTGTTTCCCAAAGACCGACCGTCTGGAGTATTTTCAGCAGAGGCGGGATCCACAGCAAGAACTTTGTAGGGTCCTGTCCAAGGAAGCGAAAACTTAACCTTGAGCACGTGCTGATCCGTGTCCTTCTTGGTCCCTCGCCGAATGGTTGCAGCTGTGTTGTACACCCAAACCCAACTTCCAGCGGTAAACGTAGGGAGCTTATTGATGGCATAAAGAAGGGAGGAGTTGCGACGCTCGACACGCGAAACTTTAAGCGCGTTGTACTCACGAACGAGATCGTACGCCTGACGTTGACGGTCCACAGCCAAATTGCAGTACTCCAATTGGTCGCGATCTAAACTCTGATGACCACCGACCGTAGGGTGATCAAACACCTAAAGCGGTAAGGGCGGAATTCGTCCCATGTGTATCTCGTTCGGCGCTAGCCCAGTGGCTTGATTGACAGAGTTGTTGTAGGTGAACTCGACGTGTGGCAAATGAACATCCCAATCCGTTTGCTTGTCGTTGACAACCACAATAAGCATCTGAGCTATGGTGTGATAAAACACGTTCCG